CCTCATTTGCAATGCCAGGGAATTATGGATAGACAGCTCCTTCAGGGACAGTCCACTGGTGAACCAATACTATGATTCGATGTTTTTCATCAAACAGTCTTTGACTGGCCGTAACTCCCTTCCCGAAAACTGATTGCGTATTGGTATATTCAATAAATAAAAAGGAAGTATCACGTCATCATAATTATTATTATTATTAATGTATCCCTTATTCAGAAATATCTGCTATCCGATAAGAGGAACTGAGTAGCAACTTGAAACTTGGAACTCTGCAAGTGTAATAGCAGAATAGACGTGTGAATCGTTATCACACGGTTGAAGTTATTCACAAAAAAAGGAAATGAACTTCATATTTCCAAGGCATTTGAGAGAGTGGAGTGTGAAGCTTTGCGTGTAAAATTTACGATAAGTCCGGTTTAGTCACTGATTGTGAAAAGGTGGAGGTTATAAATGAAAAGAAAAACGGTCAATAGAAGGTGCTCGTTAATCCAGATGTCATGTCGACTGTCAAGGACGACTGGAGCTCAGCCATGTAGTACTTCAAAACAGACGTTTGGTAAGATTGATAAGGAATCAATGATATGGTGCATTGCGTTAAACTGAATACGATCCATCCGATAGATAAACACTCGAGTTTGTTGAAGTGAAGAACCGTCTCACATAGAATAGAAACTCCATCTTGCACAAAGCCAGGAAAAAAGAAAGTTGTATGACATCAAAGTCAGAAGGCTATAGCAGGGTTCGAACCTGAGAATTTAGGGCCCGGAACACAGTATTGACAAAGTTAAGCCACTAGACCACCATGATCGCCACATTGTAGATCTTCTCTGGTGGCGGGGTTGAGCGGTAAATTTCACGATCACGACTACCCGCAGACAGCAAGTTCAACTCACACAATCACACGTTCTTGTCTACCTTCAACTTCCACACCTTGGTAGCCCTTTGGTCAATTGCAGCTCCAGCCCTGAAAAGTGATTGCACAACTATCTATTCACTGAAATAAGTTTGACATTGATGTTCTTACTGCTATGAATAAAAACAGATTCCACAGAAATTAAAGGATTAATGACGTGTACCAGAATAGTCAAATACTGAATTTGATTGTAACTCCTTGTTCCGCTGATCTAGATGCAGCCATTTCCTGGTCCGACTTAAGAACCTAATTGTTCATTGGTCCAAGAGGACCGTACCATACCACCGCCCTGCCGATCACATGTCACATTTTAACGGCTAGAAATGTAACTACAAACATAAGCCACGTGACGCAGCGTTCACCCAAGACTTTCATTATTTTAAATTATTTTACTGAATGACAAGGTGCCTGAGGCACTATGAGGAAAACAAACCTGATTGATAGATGATCCGACGGATTAGACACTAACCCTCAATGACCTGTGATTTGGAGTACGCTGACGACATGGTTTGTTTGTTCGAATGTATGGACGATGCACAAAGAGCACTTGACAGATTATCAAGTTCTGTCGCTCCGTTCGGCATGTGCTTTGCACCTTCAAAGTACAAAGTGATGCTACAATACTGGGTGTCACCGAGTTCTGTTTTGAAACTAGACGGTCAGGAATTAGCTGAAGTTGATTGCCTCCCATACTTAGGTAGCTGCGTGACCAACGACGGTAGTGCATCGAAAGAGATAACCGCCCGCATTTCCAAGGCTCGAGCAGCGTACGCAGCACTGAAACACCTATGGCGGCAACGTGACGTTTCACTGAAGTTGAAATGTCACGTATACTGCGCCACTGTACGATCAGTTCTGCTTTACGGTTGAGACCTTGAATTTGCGGGTAGAAGACAGCCGTCGTTTAGCAGTGTTCGACAATCGATGCTTACGTAGTCTAGCCCAGGTTGGATGGAGACATCTGTGGCGCCGTCACGACATCCGACTGTCTGTGAAGAGTCGAGTGTATGCTGCAGCAGTCTGGCCAGCCCTGCTCTACGGTGCAGAGACATGGCCACTAAGGGAACAGGATAAAAATAGATTGTCGGTGTTCGAACACCGCGGTTTACACTGCATTGCACGAATCTGGTGGGGTAACCGGACTAGCAATGCTGAGGTTAGGCGTAGAGTTTTAGGCAGTCGCGGTCGTCCACCGGAACAAGTGATCGACCCACATAGATTACGCTGGTTGGGACATGTGTTACGTATGTCACCAGATAGGTTGCCGCGGTGAACGATGTTTGCCAAGACCGGTAGCGATTGGGAAAAGATAAAGGGTGGTCAAACTAAGACCTGGCATGAGGGTATAAAAACCCTAACCAGGAGACTAGGTCACATAGGCCCCGTTAGGCTCCCTGGCTGGGGNCGTGATATGGCTGGGTGTCGCAAACGGTGGCGCTCGTGCATCCACTCGTTATTCTCCTAACACCACTCTATATGAATTCCCCATCTTCCGCTTCGACATTCCAATCTTCATTTTGCTCTTTCATTCAAATGGGCAACTAATAGACAGTAACTAAAACCGGCGCACGAAAGTGCATGGTTAATGGTTGTAAAAACTGAACTGAACTGAACATGGCGGAAGAGGCGAAGGAAGAGGGTCACCGGGCAGCTGATCATGCCGTTTCTCATTTTGAATATACACAACAGACGAATACCAAGTTTGCGAGCTTGTTGCAAATGTCCCCAGTTGAATCGATAGATTCGCACTGCTGATGAGACCTAACTAAATCGAAACAGCTGCCCAGTGCTTCCCAGCTTTTCAGCTCACGCCGCATTTACGCGACGGATTCATCATATAAACAAATCAAATCCTTCATTACTTTGATACGACAAATAGGTTGAGTTTCCAACCGAGTTATAACATTGGAGGCCAGCGTATAGATGAGGCTGCATCTTGACGTGGTGTGATGGCTTGTGCACCTCTATGACCCAACGAGCTACACAGGATGGCTTTCTCACGCCAGGAGATCTTATTGTACCTGGAAGGTCAAAGAGTAGAGGTCGGACAAACTTCAGTCCCCTGGTCCTCCAGGTTGAAGGTTCGACTCGAGTTAACACGGTAAAATGGTAGAGAGGTAATCTATCCAAGTAAATTGGCCTCAACTTCGCTCCACCCACTTCTTTGCGGTTAGGTTCTTGTCAGAGCTAAAGGCTTTGGACGAGAACCCTAATCGTTCGTCTGCTTAGTGGCTGGACACCTTGACTATACCCACCCATCAAACTTTAATGCATAAACAAATTCGAAATAATTCCACACTGCATCAGTCGTCGAGCAGGATAATCAGGACCCCGCTGCCTACTGCATCGATCCGGGTGGGTAGTGATAAGTTGGCTACAGATCGGATATCCCAACCCTTGATTAACTCCGTCTGCCATACCCAATCGTCATCTTTTGTCTCTTCTTCTGGCCTGAAACATTTCCGCAGACAACTTGTTCGTCTCTCGTCAAAATTTGTTGCCAACAAGCGCGGTAAGTACTTTAC